TTGCCCCAAGAGATGACCTGGAATCATTCTGCCACTCACTCCCCCCTTATTCAGCCTCCCTTCAGCTAAGGGAATTGCTCCTCTGGTTTAAGTTAACCATATGCTTAAATATGTTCCTGAATCAAGGTCTAAATTACTGAAGTAAACAGCTGCAGCTGTAAATATTCAACATGGAGCAGACGCTGCTAGAGGATTTACTGTTTCAATCATTTTGCAGTGCAGAAACACATCCTGAAGTAAAAGTAGAAATATATGTACCAAAAAAATTGCTGAAACAATTTCTACTCACACTTCTTTTGGTTTGAGACCAAATATGTAAAGTTCCTGCAGCAAAGAGGAACTCCTCTATTAGCATGAAAACAAGGCAAATCTAAGTGTATGTTAAACCTCACCCTGGATCAGTGATACAAAGACCTGCCTTCAGAAAACTGCAGAGACCCGACAGTCATGACCTAGTGTGACTGATACTGAGACAAGCTTTAGCTCAGAAGAAAACCTTTTTTTGTTATGGAATTTTGGAGATGGAAACAGAGATTGGTAGGGAAATAGAGGGAAATGGCAGTGGTAACACTGTTTTGGTTTGTGTCAACACGGACATGAGTATCTCTGCTGCTGTTCTTCAACATATGGAAATGTGGGCTTTCTAGTCAAACAAGAAGGCAGAACAGACATCACTAACTTTTTACATCTCTAGTAGTGTGAGAAAACAAATAAAAGAGTCCTGTGCATACACTGCTGAATAGATCCTACCAGGTCAGTGGGTGGAGGTTGAGCATCCCACACCCTCTTTAAAGAACTGCCCTACACTGTCTCCTCAGCCTAATGACCACAACTTCACCACTGCTGAAGCTGTTTGAGAACTATTAGAAATGACTGCAATCCAGGCCCAAACTCTGAAGGCCAATTCTAAAAAACATGTTTTAAATCACTTCTGCTTAGGACCAGAGGCAAGGGACACCAGCTGGATGCTGGGAAAATTCACTTAGATACCTGGAGAAATTGCCTATTTCAACTGCCCAGAGAGGCATTAGTACCTCCAACCTTGGATGTGTTTGAAACTTGACTGAAGAAGACTCTGAGTAACCTGCTCTAATGAGACTTGCTTGAGCAGGAGGTTGCACCAGACAACCTCTAGAGGTCCCTTCCAACCTAAATTATCCTACGATTCTCTAAAATGTCGAAAAATAACTGTAAGGTCTGGACTCTCCTGGAGCTCAAAAGTAGAAGGAAGTTTCACTAGAAGTGATTCAAGAAGCAGAACTCTCAGTTTTCCTGGAAATAAGAGTGAAGAAGCTTGACCTCAACTAGCACAGGGGCAGGCATTCCATTTCTGATTGTAGTCACATTGGTCATGCATCTGTTGGCAAGTCACATAACTTACTACCTGAGAGCTGAACACTTACTGCTTCATTTCTAGAGGTAGTGTCTCTGTCCTTATGGAAATCAAACTTTAAAAGTCTCTTTTATAAGAGCAGATGTGTTCATAAGCTTCTCAAAGCATCACTGATAACAATTCAGAAGATTGAAATCTGAAGATTAAAAGGGAATTATTGGCATAAAAATTTCCTGGTAAACCAGACTGGGTAAAACATTGACCTGGAGAGTAGCAGCTGTTTTTCTAAAGTATTTTTTCCCCACAGTTTGAAGGGGGGTAGATAGAACTTATCTGCCAATTGAATAAAGATTCAAATCTACTAAAATTTTTATCTGGTTACTTTTGGGTTTGTTTGTTTCCCACTGGGCCGTGTGTGGCTTGGAGACTTTCCAAATTCTTTTCTTAAAAGCTTTTCTAGGCTATTGGCTTAGGATATGGGCAAAAGACTGAAGATCTTCCAGAACACATTCTTTTCTGCTTCTTTCTAGCACACTCTGCACTCCTCAATTCACATTGGTGTAGAGGTCAAGGGACAGAGAGCTGAGATGACCTATTCCAGTGCCACATCACACTCACTATTTTCTTCCTAATTTCTAATCTAAATCTGCTCTCTTTTAGTTTGAAGCCATTCCCCCTTATCGTAGTAATGCAATGCTCTAAGAGGAATATACTAGGTTAGCAGAATCTAAGTAGATTCTACCAGAAAAAAAAATAAAATATAATGAATGTACAGGTCATTTCAATGTAAGAATATTTAAAAACATTTATTAGAAAAATACTCTTGCCCACATACCTAATATACTGGGAGACAACAAATTCCAATACATAAAGCTAAATACCTTAAACTGCTAGAGCAGCAAACTGGGATAGGAAGGGTAAGCTATCCCTATCATGACACTGATTTCCTTTGTGAACTATGGCAACCTACAAAACCTGTCTCTGCTTTTATTCCCTGTCTCCAGAACGTTTAATGCACACACATGGACAGGGAATTTTGGTTATATGAAAGCAGTAATTTAGCCCTCTAGCTATCTAAATACCTGATCTCTTAATATATTTGTCAAGATTCAAAAGAGAGGCTGCTTTACCTTTCCCAAACAGTAAAATTAGAAATAGTTAGGCATTAATTTGAGGCACAGGGTGTTAGCCTGGCACATGACTTCAAGCATATCAGCAAATACATATTGTGGGAACAGCAACTACACTGAGTAATGTTCAGTTTAACATTACCTTTCCTGTATAATATTGATGGGAAGAATGATCCTCCAGTGTCTTATTTTATTGGTTCCAGTAATTATGTGAAACACTGTGTGGTCTGTACTGAAGTATGCAGAAATTAGGACACAACTGCCAATCTGTGCTAATTATATTTCTTACAGTTGTATTTATCTAATTCATGCTGATTTCTTGGGGTCTGTATTTTAAGATTATTCTTGTAGCTAAACAACATTGGGATGATGCTGAGCCTGGGATAATGCCCAACTACTCAACAGTCACAAACAAATTAAATTCACTGTAGGTCTATCTATTATGTGGTTTCAAATAATATCCTGAGAATCATCTACTGCAAGCTGCTTCTATGCTGGCATTGCTTTTGGCATTGCTTTTACCTGAACTGAGCTTAAATCCTAACCTGCCTTTCATCTAGATGGGTGACTCAGCTCAGCATTTTTGTTGAAGAAAAAGGAAATCCAATGACTTCCTGACACACAGAAATGTGCCATCGTGGTGTTCGACTACAAAATCCTTTTTTCTGGAAAGAAGAGCCCAAGTATATTTCAGAAAGATCGTATTTTTTATTTGGCTTATGGAACACTTATAAACTAGGACTCCTAACTGTGATTCCCAAACAAAAAACAAAGTCAAAGGTTACAGCATATGTTTTTGTTTCAGCTTCTTCAAATTACTTGCAAATGTATTCAAACACAATATGAGGAGATACTTTATTTTATTGAAAATAACAGACTACAGGGTGCTGCAAAAAAGGCTGGGGTACCTCAAGCATAAACATGGAAAGAATACATTGGTTTAGAAACCCATAAATCCTTATTTGAATCTGCCAACCTGAAAGCCAAGTAAAGCCCGAAAAAACTATTTTTCCTAAATGCTATGTCTGATTAAGCCATACTATTAAATGACAGCTGAACTTTAACATTAATATGATATTATTTAAATAACTGCATGATTTTTTTTACACTAAAATGATGAATGATTTTTGGACAGCTCAATTGACATAAAGCAAGAAACCCCTTTAATGAGATTTGACAAAATGGAGACATATGCAGAATATTCGTTACAGCTCATGTCGCAGAGCCCTTCCTGCGGAGACTTGGGTTCAGTTGAGTCTTTTATTTTGTTCATTTTTTTATAGTTTATTTTGATTGTCTACAGGCACTGAACCATCCCTTTCAATTGCCACTTCCTTTCTCCATGGATTTTGAATTTAGCTTGTGTCATTTACATATTACTCTTAATCAGAGAATTTTATATGTTACGGTTTGGAGTTGGAATTGTAAGAAATCTGTGGAATGAAGGCATGAGGTTCAGTCATTTTAACCTTTGTCAATGTGGTACACAAGGAACTAACAAAGGTATTTTTATGAGGAGACTAGTGGAGAGATATAGCTTTATTTAGTTCCCAAGCCAAGTGACAAATCAACAACTCTGCTAAAACTTCTCCTTCTTTTTACTTTTTTTTTTTTTTTTAATAAGCCAAGTACATTAAGCAAATATGCAACATAAAAGCCTGTGGTAAGGGTAATGTCATACTGAACTCTTCAGAGCACTAAACTCCTCTAAAACTGAGCTTTCTTAGCACCCAGCACTGCTTATTTGAAGGATACTTCTCTTCTTCAGGAAGCTGAATATATACAGAAATGGACATCACAGAGAAGCTCAGGTGTTTTGTTTCACTGGATAAAGAACACATATCCAGAGATGTCACTAATTCAAAAAAATCTGTCTGAGAACGTACTAATGTTAATTTAAGGTGAGAAATAATCATTGGATAACTCCCTCCTTGCAGTCCCACATAGAGTTTTAGGATGTTGCACAGTTTTCCTTTCTGTATCACCTCATTTTGACCCCATGGACAATTTTCATACCATAGGAAGCATGGAAAAAACACGTTAAAACCACAACGGTTGACACTGTGTCTGCCCCATTTATTTAGGCAGAATTGATAATTTTAACCTTTTCTCTGAGCGCAAATTTATGCTGCCCCAAAACATTTACAAACTTTCTCACTTTAACACGCAAAAAACCCCTCAACCCCCCCAAATCACTCAAGAATAAGAAACACAGGAGTTCATATCAGAAAGCTTAATTTTACAACACACATCCAAAACCTCCCAAATAAATATAAAGAAACAAAGATGAGAAATCATTATACAAGGGCTATCCCTCAGGCTACAGAAAACTCTTTCCATAGGTGTGACAAAGCCTGCCATCTAACCACGCTGGCTTCACTGCCAGCACTCATCCAAAGACATTCTACATAGTAGCCTGTGTAAAAAAAAGTCAGGTATGTCAGCAAAACATTGAGGTTGAATTAAAACTGAAAATAAAGGCATGGAGGGAGAGAAGATGAAAAGAAAGAGGAGAAATGTCCCTACCTTGGCCTTACCTTCGCAACATTCCCGTCAAAATCCTGGAACTCTTCCCCAGGTTTGCATCTGTTTCTCTAAGCTGGGGAGAAAAGAGTCTCATTAAAGGTAAAAGGCACACATATTCCAACCTCTACAAAGGACAGATATTTCTACTGTTGTTTGAGTCAATCAACTTCAGGTTTAGCCCACAACAAGCTCTCAAAGCCACTGAAGCTCTGAAATTTAAAAATGTTTTGTCTTGTTTTCACTTACATAAAGATGAAACCCAGGGAAGATAAGACACTGAGGCAACAAAGGTGAGTCAGGATAAAGAGCAAAAGCTTTACAAATAAAGGGTTGCAGGTAGAAGCTGTATACATTGGTATCCATAAATCCCACTGATATGTGTATGTGTATTGGTTAGGTATCTTAGTGAAGGCATCAAGGGATGAAGAGACAGCCATGTACTGTGTTCCTGATGCTTTATGAAAAGAAAAACTTATCTTTCTTTCACTGTCTTTCAAAGACAGTAGTTTAAAGAAAAAACAGAAATACAAAATATTTCCTTTTACCATTTCTGTGTAAAAGAAATATGCCTATACTGTACCTTACATACAAAACTTGTACTGACCTTACAGCAGCCACCACTGGCATGGGTGCTCAAATACTTTGTAAATAGTATATAGTGTGTATATATGTGTACAGAAGGCACAGCTGTATAATATATATTTCTTTCATGTAAGGATCTGTGACTCACTGAAAAGACCATTTTTGTAGTTTATTAGGACAAAGGAAACCTACAGCTTATAGCTAAATTTAATTAGCTGACTTGTCCTACAGCTCTCAAAAATCTTGCAAAATAGGTAAAAGCACAACTGAGTAAAAAATGAAATTGTGGAGATGGGGATGGGGAGTTATGAAGCAAATAAACCTCATATTTAGTTCTATTGCTCTTTAAAAGGGGTTAAAACGTCCCCTCTGTTTTTGTGCTTATTAAAGTCCCACGAAAGGAAATCTAGAAATGAAGAAGACTACAGGAAGAATGCAGTTACTCTCCTATTGCCTCTTTTGCCACTGGCAGCTAGAGGAGAGACATCTTTTGAGTTCTTAGATAACAAAATCTACTGTAAAAGATAATCTAATGATTCTAAGCATTTCAGTTATGAAATAGCAGGGACCACTGTTTCTAGCATGCCCCCAAACACAGCTTTGTGTACATACTAAAAACCATTCTTCTCATTATGAAAGCTGAATATTTACCTCTTCATTATCAAATCAGATTGAAAGGATTACCTGACTCACTGACTTCTTACTAAAAAAACTTTGTTGTAGTAGACAAAATGCATGCTGTTTTATAAATACATCAAAATAGTAACACTGCCAAGAAGAGTGGCAGTCTTTCAGTAACAGATCACCTTCATCACAACAAACCAGTATTATATCTTGAATATAGGAACAGCAGCAATATTAAACTCAGTCTCTATTTTGGAGCCCAATACTGTAAATATTTGCTACCAGATTTAATGTTTATTACTGAAATCAGTAGTTGCAATCAATGACACAAAACCTTTTTGCATAAATTTTCCCCTTGTTCTTCTAACAGCTATTAAGAAAATACCAAGCAGAAGCTGGGACTGGATAACACCAATCAAGGCTTGCTCTTAGCAATATCATATTCAGTGGGAAGGCTTGCACTGACTCTCAGATCTCTGTAATTATGTGCTATGATGGAACAAAGATGAGCATTATATTCCAGGGAGGCCATTCCCTCATTTTTTTCCTGATTCATCTAGACAATTCAAGCTCCAGAAAAGCAGTTTAGCCTGGTTTGACACAAGTAACAGAAGAAAAAACGTCACAATAATTTTTAAAAGGCTCATTAAAAAGCCAAGTTCTTATCTATGCTAGAAGGGAATCTGAAGTACAAATGTATGCTTTATATTGGTCTTTTATTATTCATAAAGATGCATTTAACACTTGGGGCTTCTCCTCCCTTTTCACACAAAAGTAGTGCTCTCCTTTTTACCATTAAATGTTTGATCCTAACTTTCCTCTCTTGCTGCAGGATTCTACCTGACAGCTAGAATCAGTGCTGATAGTTAGGAAGGGGAAGCTGAATCTTAGAGGTTTGACAAACTCCTCTAAGCAAGACGACCTCATGTTTTTATGGTAATAAAAAAACCCACAAAATAAGTGAAAGCAACATTAAAAAAGAAACAAACACATATACACGTAGTTGGAAGATCTCTAGCTACCTCCCAAGAGAACACTAAAAAACCACCTTTTCTTCCTGCACTGGCAGAAAAAAAAACCAACATAAAGAGTTTCAAACTGTTTGTTTTTATTGAAAACTGAATTATCTGATTGCAGTTCTTTCATTATTTCTTTACCAATACCAGTGCAACACAGAAGGCAAAGAACTGGTGGCATGCAAACCTCTTAAATGGCATATGATGGGCACTTTCTTGTTTCACAGAACTGCTGTAGTGAAAACATTTTGAAATAGGCTTTGATATTAGTAATGGCAAACCTATATGGTGTTTAAAAAATAATATTAAGAATAATAATGAGAAAACAGGAAGTTGAACAAGATACTGATGTTGATATCTTGTCTTCCTTAGACACATTTTAATTTGAGGTTTTCCTAAAAAATGTTGCATCTTTTGCATCCTGTATAGCACAGTTAACCTATCTGGCTGCTAGCAGAGCTTTTATCCCTTCTCTTTGCCTTAAAAAGAAAAAAGGAATTTTACTCTACAGATAGGAAAATTCATATATGTAAATGTAACCAAACTATTGAGACTCATTTACATTTTGCTTATAGCAAAATCTTCCTACTTTTCACAACACTGAACTGTTAAAGCTGACCATCATGCTCAAACTGACAATTGCATTTGAGAAAAAAACTTTATTCCCTGACTTATAAGATAATAATGCCATGTGTTTATTGCAAAGATATTATGCATTGATAGAGCATCCTCTGCCCTGATCTTTAAAAAAACCTCCAGAAAATAAAAACCTTGCCAAGTTATCCAAGATCATCCCTAACTGTTCACCTGAATAGACAGACAGCTGGGACAGGTCCACCCGTGTGACTCCACTAGACAACTTTTCTGAATTCCCTAAACAAAATATTTTAAGTGGCTTAGGATAAAAACTTGGAATTTGAGCTCTTCCATCATGCCAGGAGGTCTTTTACTGCACTGTGGTGGGATGCACTTTCCTAGAATACTCTTATTTTTAATCTTGTTCTTTGCAGCTTAGAGGTTTTGCCATCAAAGAAATTTGCTCTTCAGGTAGAAAGCATTGAAAAAGGAGAAATTATGCTGTGAACCATGCGTACATTGAGTGATCACAACTACATCCCTCTTTCTCATTCCTGAGGATCTCTAGGATCAGCAGAAAGGGATACCCGACATTCATCTCCATTGTCTAGGTTTTATTTGTCTAGCTAGAAACCAAAAAGCATTTCAGACCCAGCAGTCACTGGGGAAGTGAGGAGTGGAGGTGAAATAAGACACCAAGTTGCCCGGACAACACTTGGTAAATGCTCACAATCCTTAGCTACATTTAGTGATTTAGTTATATGTAATGTTTTAAAGCAGGTAATGCCCAGGACTTTAGAAAGCAATTGGTACAGCTGACAGAAAATGCCTCATCAAAGCTGTCATATGAAGCTTTACCAATCAAACCTATCCAGGTAAAGAAACTCCCTGGGACAGATAAAGGAGTTTCTTTAAGTGCCATTGGTCAGTTAGAGACCTGTGGGAGGACCTAGCTTTGGCAAAATTGGACACTTGGGAAAGTATCTGAGTATTCGTGTCATGGACAGAAAGTCGCAGGTTCAGCCTTTCCTGGTTCCACGAGCAGAAACCAGAACCAGAGAGGTTGGGTCCTTAGACTGAAGCTCAGAAAAGTTGTACCCATTGAACTGGATGTGCTTCTGAGCATTTCCATGAATTCTGCAGAGTAGAGCTCATCCCCATGAAGGCCACATGAGCCAAAAATGACACAGATATGTTATCTTGACTGCAGAGACAAAGTAGCAGTGTAAGAAACCAGTACCTGCCCTTTCACGCAAAACTGCCTAAGGAGGCAGTTATTAGCATTTGCAGCTACAAAGAGTAAAGTTGATCAACTATTAGTCAGGAGCTCAGATATGATATTGAACTGTTTCATATGAAGTCCAAGAAGTCATTGGAGCGGACACTAAAACAAACCCTTGAAAGGTCAGAAAACTGACCTTTGATGTTAGTGACAAAAAGCTTGCTTCCAACAGCAGATTTGGTGACTTCAGTGTGACTCCCCATCAGAAAGACATTGCAGGATTGGGCCCATGTTAAGACACTTCATAAGTTCTTCACTGCTGATGGTGATTATATCTCATCTGAATTATTTTTGCATGCACAAAGAACTTGCCCAATACAAATAAAATGCGAGATCAGCACTCACTTATTATCAAACTTACCCTTTCCCGAGCACGCTGGATCTTCTCTCTGTCATGGCTGAGGTTTTCAAGCATCTCCTGTCCAATCTGCTCTGCATTAAAAAATGAAAATGTAAATCATGAAAAATACAGCTTGTGACTGTAAGGCCTCAAAATGCCAATTCATATTGTAACAACAGCATTAAATACATTTGGTAGCCTAATCACTCCTCCTAAGTGCAAAGAGAAAGACACCATTATACTAAAATTTAGGTTTTTCAAGCAACATAAAACTGAAGGAGCAAACCAAACCAGAAGCTGTTTCCTTGCCATCTCTTGAGGTTGTCTAGGCCTTGGGAATTGATGCTGAACTTTGGTCTGTGAAACAAAGGCAAGAAGACTTTCAGAGCTGCTCTTAGTGCAGGCTGCTCATACTTACTATATATTCCTTAAGCCCCTCCTTGTCTTAGAAAGGAAGGCAGAAAGCCTTTGCTAAACCACCAGCCTTATACGTCTAAAGACACTGAGAACTCATATGAGAGGAAAACCACACTCTGTAACTCTCAGCATTTACCACTGATGCTTAAATCAAAGCTTTTTCAGGCTAAGCCCAGTTACTGGTGTCTGCTTTGCTCCATCATGGACTATTTCTGGCAAGTTCAGAGAAATGCTGTAATCTCCTGGTGTTTTTAATAGTAGACATAGACATTAATTTATAGTCATCACCGCTTGTTTACACAGGGGTTGTTTGCTTCCGCAGCTCACGCTGAACCAAAGGTTGCAAAATTATAGCAGAGAGGCCTCAAGATACGGTACAAAGACAACACGAGATGCCAAAACTTTATTCTTCAAACAGCTTCAGTCAAATGCTTCTCTAACACTGAAATATTAGCAGCAAGTATAGAGAAGAGATTTTAATCTTCAAAGCTCTATAGAAACATTAAGAAACCCTCCCTGTATTTCCCTGAAGGAGAAAAATAAGTTTAATCATTCCCATTTTACAGATGGAGAAAAAGACAGAAGGAGCTGAAGCAGCTGTAGCTTGCCCCAGGACACATAGCACATGTGAGACAACCAGCATTTCTGTGCACATTCAGTTAGGTAACTTAACAGGCTTACCAGAGACACTCACCAAAACAGTAAAACTACAGAACCATGACTTTTTTTTCTTTTTATAAACAACAAAAAACACGCCCTGCTTTTGTTCTGGTAAGTTAGTGGGATCTTAAAATGTCATTATTTGTGGAGCCTCAAGAAAATGAACCATTGAAAATTCACCATTATGTTAGTAAACATGACTATGATTTATTTTTTCTTTAACAGATACAGTCCATTTTCAGGAAACAATCCAAAGCAGAATCATCTCAAACTTTTAAAGTTTGAGACAAGCAATTCTTTTTTTAAAACCCATTTAACACAAGGCACACAGTCTGCCAGATAAAGTCTAAGGAAATTCATTACATATATATTTCTCTATCAGTTGCCAAGTACAGTACAAGTAAGATAAATATTTCCTCTGACCACAAATTGACATCCTCATTATACTATCTTGTCCCTCTTGGCTTGCTGCTCTTTACTTTTAGCTGTATATACAATGCCTCCCAAAGGTGAAATGTGGTAAGATACATGGTTATGGAGTTAAAAAGGCTGCACGGTGCAGTACATCTACAGGAATGGCAGCCTAAGAAAGCGATTCAAGAGAGCTTTGCCTATGTTTGCATGTCAAAGGACTTACTGGATGAAACTTTACTGAGTTTTTCCTCATCAAAGCACTCAACATACTGTAATACACAAACAGATATATGTGTTCAATGTAATCCAGGGGAGGAAAAAACAAAGCAAAATCTCTTAAAAAGAGAAGGAAAAAAATCAACAAATTACTAACCTAGTAACATGAGGTGAAACGATAATAAGCGTATTTATTGCTAAAAATTATATGTATGTTTGCAGACATAAAGGAATGCGAGCAGCAGGTTTTCCTTCAAAGGAAAGTATAAAGCAAATGGCTAAAATGGCTTGGTATTTCATGAACAAAGCTCAAAAATATCCTTATAGAAAACAGCTTTATTTTTATTGCACCAATTTTAAGCAAGTTACTGTGGTTTTTTTTTCATCTTCTTCCTGTCACTGGCAAGTTCACACTCTTAGCTTTTTATAATGATTGAGTTTATTTTCCAACCATCAATGTGACAGCAGCATCAACTGTAAGTGAGGGTAAAACACCGTCACTTTGACGAATAGTGTATTTTCCTCTCATTGTCGATGACTGAAGACATCAATAAATAAGGAAGGAGAGCATGTCAGCCAGAATATCACAGAATGAATTGTTGATATGACACTTAGGGATTAAACCTTCAGCCATGAAGTTCAACCTAGCAGAGGGGTCTGAGAACTGAGATAGTTGCGTTTCTTCCCAGCAGCCTCTATAGATAAATAATTGGACGGATCATCAATTTTACAGGAGCAGCTTTACTCTACATGCACTTTCGTTGATGATCTTTGGCCTTTTTTGGACTAAAATAACAACATAAGTTGAACAAAGAGACATAACGGAGGTAACATAATCTCACAATAAGTTTGCAAACAAAAAATGACACCTTTATCCTCTTCATATCCTTGTTCTACTCAGAAAATTCACTGATGAGAGTGAAACTTGATTTTTAGCTGGAAGGTCAAGACAGTCAAAAAAAAAGTTATTAAATAAAGAAAATACAGACTTCTAAATGATATGAAGACATGTCTCCTCACTTCGTTTGCAACTGAAGGTGCCTGGGACTAGGAAAAAAGTAACATTAGCCCACAGCACAGCTAATTACAAGCTTGACAGCATTGCTACCTGCTTGCTACCATTTTTCAAGTTTCCCCACAATGCTGATGTTTTCCTGCCAGTTAAAACATTTATCTACGTGGCAGATCTGTGCTTTTAGTGCAGCGGTGCTGTATAGATCTTTCCAGCCTACTTATAATGCAAGTCATTGATGAAGCTACCACAGTTATGTGAAAAGGTCATGTTTGTAAGATATACTGTAGTGCAGATGCATGAATTAAGACCAATACACAAACTGAAGGGTGTTGCCTGTTGCCAGTAATGGTGTTATTTCCATAGAATCTTAACAACATCAATTATTTGGGGATTATGCCAACCTTTCAGTCGTTACATAGGGACAGTGTTTAGCACAGTGCAGTTCCAAGTCCTACAAAAGACTGAGTGGTGCTGCCTCTTCTAACTGAAATTCCCAAAGAGATGCATAAAATTATGTTCTAAAATTACAGTTAAACTATGAGAAGCAGAAGGGTGAATGCATTTACATCATTATTATCTATGTACTGACAGAGGGCAGGAATATTCAGTATAGCAATTATCTCAGTCTTAATGCTGTGATGGCCAGAAAAAAATAATTCTGAAAAAGTACATAATATTAACAAGCATTAACAAGCCTTAAAGGATGACTGCTAAAATTCACAGCTCTAAATGTATTCTGCCCTAAAGGTGCTTGAACAAGGTATGGGAAATCAGGTTCTTCAGTACCGAGCACTTCAATAATTCCATGTTGTGAGTCCAACACAAAAGGTGCCTGGTTCTATAAGACTGTGTTATCCAAAAAAAAAAAGATAACATTTCTTATCCTAAAACACTGCAACTAATTAAAAGAATGAATACACTTTCCCCAACTGAAGAAAAAACAATACACTCCCCACCCAAACCCAACAAATGCAAACCTAGCTTCCCCCTTCATATGTGCACAAATTGGCACACGGTTTTCAACTTTTATATTAACATAAGCCCAAAAGACAGAGGTCACTTCTAGCAACGTTTTACGCTCCCAAATACTCCCTTTCTTTGGAATTCGCCTGTAACCTATATGCAGTGTTTATTTATATGTACAAATCGTAATTATTTAATACATGGTCTACAAAGCTTGGTTTCTAATACCTACACACAAGTCAAGGACACAAATAAGTTGTGCTTGACTGGTTTTTCTTTTACTTTTTTTGCCTCCAGCCATTTAAGTATTTATTTACTTTATCAGCTAAACTGATTCTGAAAGAGCTTTTTCTAATCACTCAAGTCAATAATACTTTTTCCCTTAAGAATGACTAATATATTTACTCAAGAGATAGGAATGACATGGAATGAGCCTCTCTAGGCTTTTGGATAAACAAACATGCATTTTTATGAATTTTGAAGACAGACTCTCCATTTTTCTTTTCATATGAAAAATAAAATAATCCAACATAATTTATACAGCACCTTTTCTCTCAAAGAGTATCCTGCGTGTGTGTGTATATATATATATATATATACATATCTATCTATCTATCTATCTATCTATCTATCTATCTATATATATATATATGTTTCATAAGAGCAGCAGATATCTTGATATAATTTAAAATATAAAAAAAGCTTAAAAACAAACCAAATCACAGAGAGGATGCCTGGAAGTATGATTTGCCCAACCTCATCATATGTACAATGTATGCATCTGAGCTATGTAAGTAGAGATTGGAAAAGACAAACTAATTTACACTGGGAAAAGCAGATCATGTTAAAAATCAAGATGGCTGTTCTACAGAATCATGAAATACACTAAGAAACTCATTGTGTGTTGGTCAGGGTAGGAATGGAGAACAGTTTCACCCCGAGATCTTCAGCCCTGACTAGTAGTGTCATTTGGGGAGTGCAATTGTGTGTTGTCTTTGCACGGAGACATCACATGCTCTGAAGATGTAGTAAAAGTTAATGGAAGATTTTTTGAGAACCACACTGACACAGGTCAGGACTTTTTTTTTTCCTAAAAGCCACTCTTTTTTGGACAGGTTAAAAGTTTTGATTTTAGAAGGCTAGGTTAAATCATCAACAGCAGTTTCTGGGGAAAAATGCTAGAAAACATTAAATACTAGCTTTTCAGAGGTGACAGCAAGCAGATTTACAAACTTGGAAAATATATGTTGCAGGAGCTGAAGAATTCAGGGCTGAGTCAAATGCCTTATGCTTCTGACAGCAGAAAGTTAATAAAGAAAGTGATGACATATCTTGAAGTATAAGGACACAGGTAAAAGTCTGATAAATTCCTAAGTTCACAGTTGATATGTATTTACATTGAACAGC